ACAACAACAACATCAAGCCTTTGTCCCACTATGTGGGGTCGGCTACGTGAATCCTTTTTCACCATTTTGTCCGGTTAAAAGTCAAATTTTCATTTAAATCTAATAAAGAAAGATCATTTCTAATATTTTCTAACCAAGTCTTTTTAGGTCTACCTCTACCTTTCTTAACATAAGTCGAATCTAATACCTCAACTTTCCTAACCGGGTCATCGGAAGGCTTCCGTTTAACAATCATACTTACAAATAAAAAAATTTTAAAAAATAAATGGGTCAAAATCAGGTTGGCGATTCAAACCGAACCCAACCGTTTATTAAACGGGTCAACCCGAATTCGGATTTTTCGGGTTGAGTTGACGAGTTGAGACATTTTTTGACACCCCTAGGGCATCACAATGACTCATTCCCTCATTTCAAACACTTGAATTAAGATGCATCACTTCTTCATTGTTTTTCGTGGACCCCACTTCATGGATAATGTCATCAATAACTCCATACCGATTTCACATCGATCTCACCACTTGCTCCTAGTAATAGTAACTAGCTCCCCTTTACCCTTATGTAGACCTCCCCTTACAATTGTTGCCTTCTATAGAGGAGATAATCTCATAGTCCCTATCTTGCAGCAATTTCTATGCTACCATCAACTTCAAAGTGATTACAAAGGATAGAATTCCATTGACATACACACTATATTTTTATTGATGTCCCTTTGTTTGGAAGTGTAAAAGAATCCAAATTACTAGCATGCCTCTGAGGTCTCTTTCTAGCATCTCCATTGATGATGTTAACACCGCAAAACCTCATTGATAGCAAATACGGTATGGTTCGAGGCATTATAAAGCTACCCACATCATAATGTGGAAGTTTCAAACACCATGACCAGTACCTCAATCCTCAATCTTCTCTTTGTTGATGCCTTACACTGAGCTATATACCATTGACATTGAATTGACCATCAAGTATAGCTTCATCGACATGCACACTAGTACCTTTATTGACTCCCCTCTACTTGGGAGTGTATAGGGCTCCTGGTTAGTAGTACGCCCCCTAACTCTCTTTCCAACATCTCCACATTGAATTGACCTGTAGAACCTCATTGTTGGTGAAGGCAATCTGATCCAAAGCATTAGAAAGCTACCCCTACTGAACACTAAGATCAATTCTACCCCTATTGAACACCAAGCTCAAGGCCTTAATCTCTCGTTTATTCCCCATTGATGTCGATCTTGAGCTAGATATTGAACGCATATGCCTAAGGGTGCACCATTAACTATTGAGGGTCTGTCTGTTCTTCCAGGGATCATTGCTATAGTAAGTATTCTTCTAGAAGCCTTGATGCCTTCAACTTCTTATTCCTAATCAACATCACTAAAAGTTCTGCTTATGCTACATGCTTCTAATCCATCCCCTAATCACTAATGTTAGCTAAAAGGAAATTTTGAGATTTATTGTTATACATTATTAAAGGTGTTTGAATTACAAAAAAAAGCATGTTTAATCTTCATTTCAAACTCTCCTGTATGTAGTTTGAAAGGAGAAGTAAATTATAAAGCCTCATATTTTGCACTTAATCACCGTAGCCCACGTGTCTTGATGACTAGTTAGCTCTTGTACAATTAGTTCTATAGGATCCCACTAAGCTAAGAGGGCACGGCCCAGCTTGCCAAGAAGATGTTTAGGCCAATGCCAATATGTATCGTCCACGCCGACACTCATCACCTAGCTCTACCTTGATGACAATCAGTTCTTAACTCTAGATTTTTGGCACCCGGCCATCTCTAGACCCGTCACCTTTGCTTTCTCTTGCTCGAATCACACCAATTGGATGCAACCACATCCAATAAAATCAATAACCATCAATGCCTACCCATGCCAATGCAAACCAAATATGTGGCATCTCCTAGCACAAAAATGAAATCCATCCATAAACATCCCTATTAATACTAACCATACCTCTCATGTCACCACCTAGCACTAACCATGCGATGCCTAAATTCGATCCATAAAACTTGGCTCCACGCTAACACAACACATGTCCAAAACCCTCTTAGTACATCAATTATGGCCTATGCATGTGTGCCCATCAGCATGATCCACTAAGATCGCCCTTTTTGTGGCATTGAACTAAGTAATGTATTCTTAATTTTCCTCTCTCCTTGCTCTCCTTCCATCTAATAGAATATTTGACTCATACACTCTTTCTTTTGGTATAATAGAAGCTTTTCTCTCTCTGTGTAGCAAAGTTAAGCTAGCAAGCCAAACCATTTCAACCTAATATCCCTGATAATGGTGATATGAATATATTCCTACTTTTCCATCTTATTCTCTCTATCACTTCTTCCACTATGATTCCACTATGAGTTGCTTGAGACTATAAATTTATTTTCCCTCTTCTTGTGAGCGACCTCCTCGTCTGCATATTGTTTATCAAACCTATGAAAATAAACATGTGTTCATAGTAGGAGATGCACGGCATGTCAACACCTCATTTGCAGCATTGAGTTTGTCGTGTAATTCTTATAAAGTGAAAGTGTTTGTCTTCGAACAAGTGCCTATAAATTGATTATGCTTACATTATATTGGTTAATCACTTCATATGGAATGTTCCTCATAACTGGAGTGTGATATAAACTAAAATGAGATATAAGCTAGGTCATAAACAATTGAGGAACCTAATCAATGTGAAGTGCAATTAAGCTCTAAAGCATAAGCACATAAGCATGAAATTTTGACCCAATTGAGTTAGATTCTATTGATAATGATTGTGAGTGGTGCAATTGGATTATGGATTGTGTTCGAGATTACTATTTTAATGATGATTAATAGGGTGAGAAATCGAGGTAGTTGAAGGCCTAGAAGAAGATCAAAGTAAAAAAGGAACAATATCTCATTATACATATAGAAGAATATCAACAACCTGAGCTCATAGACTTTCTACATTAACAAGCTTAACTATTAGGTTAACAATTAGGTGCAACCTATGATGCACCGACACGGCACTTAAAGAGGGCATGCAGTGTCGGACACGAACACGCGTTGGACACGGCATGGACACGTGTCCGACACGGCATTGGAGTGTCGCAATTTAAAAAATTAAAATTAAAATCGGAGTGTCGGACACGCGTGTCCGGTTATTAAATGAGGTATCGCTAGGTACATGCTCGGTATCGCTAGGTACATGTTCGGTACCGCTCAGTACCGCTCGGTACATGCTCGGTGCCGCTCAGTACATGCTCGATACTGCTCAATATATGCTCGGTAACGCTCAGTACTGCTCAATATATACTCGGTACCGCTTGGTACATGCTCGGTACTGCTAGGTACATGCTCGGTACTGCTAGGTACATGCTCGGTACCGCTCAGTACCGCTAGGTCATGCTCAGTACCAATGTTTAAAATTGCGTATTCGGGTATTGAGGCGTTTTTCATTCATGAGGCGTGGCGTAAGCCTCAAGGCGTTTTGAGACGTAAGCCTCAAAATCAAAAGATTGCGTAAACATAATATGATAAATTTTTTATATACTAATGAGTGAATAATATAAAACATAAAAAAACACGGAATGTCAAAACCTCATTTGCAGCATTGAGTTTGTCGTGTAATTCTTATAAAGTGAAAGTGGTTGTCTTCGAACAAGTGCCTATAAATTGATTATGCTTACATTATATTGGTTAATCACTTCATATGGACTGTTCCTCATAACTGGAGTGTGATATAAACTAAAATGAGAAATAAGCTAGGTCATAACCAATTGAGGAACCTAATCAATGTGAAGTGCAATTAAGCTCTAAAGCATAAGCACATAAGCATGAAATTTTGACCCAATTGAGTTAGATTCTATTGATAATGATTGTGAGTGGTGCAATTGGATTATGGATTGTGTTCGAGATTACTATTTTAATGATGATTAATAGGGTGAGAAATCGAAGTAGTAGAAGGCCTAGAAGAAGATCAAAGTAAAAAAGGAACAATATCTCATTATACATATAGAAGAATATCAACAACCTGAGCTCATAGACTTTCTACATTAACAAGCTTAACTATTAGGTTAACAATTAGGTGCAACCATCATCTAATGAAATAATTGGCTTGGCCGAAGTGTGATTATTAAGTTTTTTTGCACGTCACGTTGCATTATGCGTTGAAAACTTTGAAAGAATTGAATTATATAAAATACTAAGAGTTTAATGATCACATATATTACATTTAGATCTCATTCATTTATCCAAGATATTTTGACTTGATAATCATAAGTTGTTCCCTATGATGTAGGTAGCATTATGCACAGGCTCATAGTGAAAATTTTTCTCCTCAACAATGTTCAAGAAAGCCAAGTCTAGAACATCAAAAATAAAAGACTAAATTTAGGATTATAAAATTAAATTAAGTTGAACACTTTGCATGTTGAAACATAGAAAGCGTGCAAACAAAAAAAAAACTAAATATGAAATAAGCAACTAAAAGCTAATATTTTTCATAAAAAAACAAAATAAGCATAGAGAGGATTAAAAAGATGGATTTTGCATATACAGAACATGAAATGGGCCATTAGTTTTGAGGGGATTCTCATTGAGTTTCATTGAAATAGAGGATTGGAGGTTCACTGAGGGGGGGTTTCAGTAGTGCACATTGAGAGGAAACACTGTGTAAAAGTTCCCCCATATGCCGGCTAGAAATACAAGTCTCAAGAAAATCCAATATGCGGCCGGCACATAAGAAATATATTTCGCTTTTCCAGCAGAGAATTAGCTGGACACAATTCATGCAGCCGCAACATGCCTAGTACTGGCCAGGACTTGACTTTGGTTCATATTCTATAGTATCATTTGCTCATCTAGCTACATTTCATTGACATTGCATGTATTTTTTACATTGAATTGTTATTATGTTATGATGTCTCTTTTTTATTTTTCTTCTGTTTATCCTTATTTTACTCTACTTAACCATTTTTGTTGTTGCAATGCTATCAAGTAGGATACATGATATTGCAGAACTATGTTAGACCGGTCCAGCCGGTCCACGCTGAACCGGCCCATACGCGAAACAGCGGATTCCTTCCGCTTGCGACGAATGCCATGCGAGCCGCAAGCCTTGCGGGAGCCGAAAAGGAAGATTTTTTGGAGGAATTAAGAAGGAAATTTGAATGTAGGGATTGTTTAGGGATTTCCTTTTGATTTGTATGCATTAAATAGTTTGTTTTCCTAGGGTTAGGGCATCTTGAATTTGGCTGAAATTTGAGATCTATTTGATTTATTTTGGGCTCTAGCGGCGTCTAGAGATTTGAGAGAGAACGATCCTCCTCTCAAATAGAGGATCAATTGTATCTCAGCATTTTCCGTTTCTATTTCATTAAATAATACACATTATCTACTATTTTCGTGGTTTTTTGTGGATTTTTGTGGAGAATTATCGCTGTTTTTTGAAGATGGATAGGAAATACTTGAGATCTACTAGTGTTTCCTATCACAAACATAGTTGACGGGGTTCAATAAATTAAATGCCCCATAAAACTACCCTGACAATGGCCATGTTGGTAGAAAATCTCAATTGGAGGGGACCACAAATATCTAAAAATATCTTCCCCAAATGTTTGGCTTACTCATTAAATCCAATGTAAATTTGAATATATTTTTTATTTTAGTTTTTAAATTATTGGCTAGTAAATTCTCTAATTTTGATTTCTTTGTATTCTTTGAAGATTTTCAAGTAAAGAATGACTTCAGAAGATTTAGATTTGTCCACCTCAGACACACATTTTCCGTGTCGGACACGTATCCCAGCTGTGTCAGGCACGTGTTTGTGTTTGACACGTGTCAGACACTCCATTCCCTCTTTTAGAGGTGTGTCGGTGCATCATAGGTCATAGCTTTGCATTAATTTTGGAAGTCTAATTTAACTAATTTAGGTTTAAACCTGCAAGATAAATTTTCCTATCAACGTGGTCAATGCTCAGCATGCATGGTTTCAAGGTTTATTAATTCTAGAAAACTTTAATTTTTTGTAGATGTCAATAATCTACATTTCTGCCTGTTACCTTTTTTCTTTCCTGGTTGTTGATGTCTGTTTTTATTTTATTGTTGCATAGGCCGCAGTTAAAATGTCTCACTACCACATTGAAAGGATGGAACATGATTATGAAATCAATGATGTGGAGGATGACATGGAAGAAGAATTTCATAGAAAGGGGACGGGATACTCGGAATCTGATGATGATGAATATATACACATTGTACGCTAATTTCTTGAAAAAACTCCCTCTTTTGAAAACCAACTCCATCTGTTTTATTTTTTTCTAATGCTCATCTATGGAAACATACATGTTCTGAGAACTTCTATATGATCTTGCATTAACAACTGCATAGTTTTTCCAACTTTTTCATATAAAATTTATTTATACATTTAACTAGAATTTCATGCAGAATGGTGGAATAACAGATACTTCATCAACACAAGCAAGAAAAGGGAAGGACATACAAGGGATTCCCTGGGATAGGCTAAGTATCACTAGGGCCAAGTATAGGCAGACTAGACTAGAACAGTACAAAAATTATGAGAATGTTACCAATTCTGGAGATGCTTCTGCAAAGGTACATTGAGGACTCATTCTGTATCTCTTCTTACCTTTTGTTCTCCTAGCATATCTGACTTGCTATTCTGATACTAAGGGATGCAAGCCAACGGAGAAAGGAAGGATCTATTATGAGTTTTGGCGCAATACAAGGTCTGCTAAATCTACTATTCTTCATTTTCAGGTAATGAAAAGTCATGCCTAATTTAGGACTCTCCACGTGCTTTTTCCAAAAAATAATTTGGTATTTTTGTTACTTTTAGATGGCACTTCGATTATAGCAGTTTATTGCAGTTGATGTTTGGTAATGTATTTCTATATATATAAAATTCAGTTGCTTCTTGTTGTGAAATTTCTTGAACTATGTTGTAATAAATATATCTTTAAATCTCCATATGATCTAACATCATCAAAGTATCTGTGATATCTTATATTGTAGGTACATGTGAGAATTTTCTGATTAACTTTGGTGCATGTCTTTCTAATTATTCATTATCATCAGCATAATCAGTAGCATTCCAATTATTTGGGTCTGGTTTTGTGGATTATGCTGTACTATTTATTCCTATTAAGTGTTGTAAGAGTTGTTTCAACATATTATTTGCAAATCTTTTTGAATTGCTTCTCTACTTGTTGTCTTAGATATATTATTTATCCTTCCTAAATCTTCGATATTAATTTTATCCATCCATCTGATTGATTCAGTTTTACCCTTCATTGTTTATTTTTGAAGTACCTAAGTGTAATAGACTGAGCATGATATTACGTGCAGATATCTAAATTAGGGCAGACTGTGCATTGAATAAATAAACACACTTCATATATCAGAATGAAAAATAATAGATTTTTCTCAAGCCTCCCATCAGAAATGTATTCTTATGACTCTCGTGTTGGCATATCAAAAAACAAGTCTTATGACTCCCAATGCCCAACACTATAATAAAAGGTGCATATAACACCATATCAGAATTTCGTGTGCCTTTAGCACCATAATAGTACTTCCCCTCACACATCAAATCTCATTAGAATCTCACATTTCAAGAAGATAAACAGATAATTTATTGCATTGTAGTAAAAGAAATATATAACTTGGTTTGAAAATATTAGAAA